AAAAAATTTTAATTATCATTTATTTATCACATATATAAAATTATTTAATCAAATTTTATCAAAAAGAATCAAATTGCAATAACTAAATCCAATAAAGGGAGTATAATTTAAGGCTTGTCTATTCTATATATACAGTTAAGATGTGTAATAAGGAATAATTATTAGACAATGATTGTGATTTTTTTTTAAGTAAAATTTTGAATTGACAAAATTGAGTTCCTCAGTTTTTTGGTGGGTCAAGACGCATAATAAGGAATAATTCGTCTTTTTTCTTGATGTTTTGACTCTGTTTCTGTGTTCTAATTTTAAGTTCCTCAGTTTTGTGATCTGTAACTGTAATGGAATTGCAGATTCATGGAGTGCTGAACACTGAGTTGGGGTATTTTGATGCCTTTTGGTGGTGCTACAATAGCAAGGTATGAAGGTTTTCAAAATGGGTGTGATATGCCTCGTTACCTTTCCCTTGCTTACCTATTGTTGCAACCTCATGCTTATGTATGTATCGGAGCAAGTGAGCTTAGGACTAGAAGTGATTCATTACAGGGAACTGGTTCTAGGATATCTGTGTATGTACATGGTATTCTACATTCTACTTCCCTCTATCCATTCCATTTCTTGCATACTTGCTTTGTCATACATTTATACAGATTTATGCACTCTTTATAAGACCTTAACAATGGGACAACTCAAGGCCAAATGCCTATTAAAATAGGTACTAATTTAGTCCATAATGTAACAAAGAAAGCATCATATAATGTTCCTAAGAAGAACTATAGATATGAGAAAATAATAGACAAATTTGCTGATATTCATAAACTATAGGTACTTCCTTATTCTGATAGCTCCAATGCCTTGACAAATGCGTCCCTCAGGCAAGGGTTTGAAGCTGCAATTCTTGTACTTGTAGATGTGATGTCGAAATCTTTTCCAGATCTGATGCCAAGGAAAATCCCAATCATGTCAATATAATCATGTATTTTCGAACAATCTCTAATTCTCTAAGTCTGAACTATACCAGATAGTAAAATAGGAATCATTGGATGAGAGAGGGAGTCTCCAATATCAAGGGATTCACCCCCATCCAATGGTTAATGTTGTACAATCCAAAACAATTTAGACAACACAAAACTTTTTTTGTTGATTGATTATGGAAGATTACAGGTCCTTGCTATTAATTTAGGAAGAAAATATGTATGGTGCATATTTAGAGTAAGGTTAGCTACTTACGGCTCATACACAAGGCCTCCAGCTTCTATAACAATCACAATACTAGCTGCTACATCCCTGATCAAAGAAGTACACCTTATCAAAAAGCCGAGTACTAAATTAAATTCTGGTGAAAGGGTGAAAGTGTTACCATAGTCCCCCATATCTGAGACTATAGAAGAGATCGAGCCTTCCACATGCAATTCCACAGAGGTTTAATGCGCAAGAGCCACTCATCCGAAGGGATCTAACCTGTTAAAATAAGAGACAGCTGCATGAGTGTTTATGGAAGCCAGTATAATTATAGCAAAGCAAAAGGGCGCACACCCCTGGCAAGTTTTGAACCTACCTTGACAAGTAAGTTTTTGATTCTATTTGTTGTGGCCTCCATAATCAACTTATCACGATTTGTTCCAGTCTGCTCAGTAGAATAAACATTTCAGTTCTTGTAACACGCTTGAAGAGGTATAATTCTACTGTGGTCAACAAGGATAAGTGAGATAATGAAATAGCTCAAAATGATGATAACCAGATGAAGGTGGAGCTAGAACAAACTTGGACACAAGGATTCAGCTATATGCTTACATACCCCTGTAGCGAGGAGAGATTTCCCAAGCTCAGTTTCAGCTGATACTGCAAAATCACA